TTAGAACCTTCGAACTAATGCCAAAATAAATATCTTTCAAATATGCATGCTGTGGATGTAAGTTTTGATATTTTTTCCCCTTCTAATTATATATGCATGTTTCAAGCAAATAGTGAACAGATGCTAGACCGTTAATAAAAAATAAGATGAATGTTATTTAATCTTAAAATGAGTTCCAATTCTTAAAATGAAAATGAGAAACTCAATTCTCGCCTCAGACATGATGTGCGACTAAGATTTAATATTTATATTATTTTTATTATTTAAATATTGATTCTTGCCGGCATTGACTGTTGACCGGGGTTGACTTATTGTTGACCACCAATAATGTTGACGGAGACCGATGCTTGATTTGGTATCAATTAAGTATGTATTCTGAATCAATTAGATATGCATTTTGTATGAACTAGTTGTGCAATCCTGAAACTGTGTGTCCTAGCGCCATTTTCAATACATGCAATTGATATCAAAGTTATCATGTATGAACTAAATATACACTTATGTATGAATTAAATATGCAGTATGTATGTCAATTTTGAAACTAATTGATATGTAACTGAAACTAAATATGCATTAAGTATACATACAATTATGTATGAGCTAAATATGTATTATGTTGAAGTAAAAGCTCCAAAAAAATGTCATTGATATCAACTAAGTATACAATTGTGTATGAATTAAATATACATTATATATGAACTAAATATCATTATCTTTAAACTAAACGTGTAGTCTGGAAACTGACAGTGTCGTTGCCGTCGGTTAACGCCGGTTAATTGAGGTCAACGCCTCCGCCCTCTGGTCAATGTCGACAACGTCAGTCAATGTACCGTCAATTGTCTTTTTATTATATAATTAATATAAATAATATTTATTATATATGAAACTCAATTCTAATAATTGACTTGTGTGGAATCAATAGATATTCATATAAAAAGTGGTCTCACTGAAAAGTGGTCTCACTGGATCCACCACAATAGATAGGACAAGTCACTCGTTAACATTGTTAAAGCCTCGATAAGTCTATCAACTTATATGCTATGGTGGCTTTGGAAAACTAGAAACAAATGTGTCTTTTGAGAAAAAGTGAGTGAGGGAGAGGATAGAGTAGATCGATGTGCCGTGGATGTCTGGCTAAATTTTGCTTCAGCAAAGAGGGAACAGAGGTGCATCTACACTGTCATTGCGGGTCACATCCAAAAAAAAAATAATTATTATTCTCAAAGTTAAGCAAAGCAAATGGAGCTGGAAGAAGGCTCATTTTTCTCCTCTGACACGGTCTCTGACACGGCCTCTATGCCCGTGTCAGAGGTCGTGTCAAAATGCCGAGAGCAACATTTAAAATCAAATTTTCAACTCCACCTGACATGGCCTCTGACACGGGCAGCCAACCCGTGTCACAGCCCGTGTCACCTGACACGGCCTCTGACACGGGCTGGCTGCCCGTGTCACAGCCCGTGTCAGGTCTGGGCACCTTAAAAATTTTTTTATTTTTTTTTTATTTTTTTTTTAATAATTAATATGTTTATCACATAAACATTTAATTATCTTGTTTATCTCATAAACATTATAATTATCTTGTTTATCATATAAACATTATAATTATCTTGTTTATCATATAAACATTAACAAATCAAAATCTGTTTTTAAAGATGATAACCGTGGCTCTGATACCACTGTTGGGTTCGCCTGTAACGTACGAGTCATTATTGACAATTCTCCTGGCATAGTGCTAATAATGGACTAGATCAAAATGACTTAATTAAATTCTAGTGTTTCTTCTATTAGTGAAGTTTCTAGAAAAAAAAATATATCAAACGACGCAATGCACCTTGGGTCGCTACGGAAACAGCCTCCTTGTATAATTACAAGGTCCGCGTACAACTGACCCCCAGACCCCAACCCGAACCCGTTGGGAATATACTGGGTATGTTGATGTTGATGTTGAAAGTTAAGCAAAACAAAGGACGGAAACCTCTAGCTTGACGGGCAAGATAACAGAATTTCACACCAGACCCAGAGGATGCAAGTGAATTTGACAATTCTCCCACTCCAAATAATCTTCATGTGATTGGGAAACAACACACATGACGTACAAATTTACCACCACTCCAGAGCACTGTCACGAAGCGAAATTTACACATCCGATACATTTGATAAATACCGAGACATTTATCATAACAAAACTCGCAACACCACTGGCTCACACGAAACCAGGAGTACAATCAAACCATAGCACACGAGCCAGCTCAAACTATCCGAAAACTTTCCCATCACACATATCAACTTACGACCAAGTTGTTCTCAGTCTTCTCCCACAAAAGAAACTTCCATTTCAGTTCACCAACTTCGAACCCTCGTACGAGAAAATTCGAACTGCATTATCATAACTCAACTCCGCAAGCTCCTTTTCCTCCATCTCGAGCAGACCCGCAACATACTTAAGCACACTACGAATATTACCCGGGTGATTCAAACTCTCCTCCTCGGTACCCTCTCCTTCCTCGACCAAGAAAAGAGAACCACCCGATTTTGGCCGAGCATCCGGCGCATCAGTCTCCAACAATATCCTATCCATAGGCACTGATTTCACAATCCTCTTGGCCTTGCTCTCCTTTAAAGACATCAAAAACCCCGAAAACGAAAAGTAAGCCCCCAACCCAGATAACCGATCGACCATCTCAGCCGACCCAAGATACGAATGCAACACAACACCACTAGGAAAGGGGCCCATCGACTCCATTATCCCGAGCAGTTCGCCAAAAGCACGAACACAATGCACGGAGGCTGGACGATTAATCTCCTTCGCCAGCTGGAGCTGCTGGCGAAAGACCTCGACTTGGTCTGAAAAATCTATTTCCTTCGCTTTCGAGCCTCTGTCCAATCCGATCTCGCCAACTGCCGCAGCCGGGTTGGCCAAGAGGAAATTCTTGAGAGTGATCAACCAATCGGGAGACCTCTCGGTTATGAACCAGGGATGAAGGCCAAAATTCGGGATCACGGAAGGGTAAGTTTTGCTCATTTTTTCTACTAAATGCCAGTCCTTTTCAGACACTCCATTTACGGCGAAGTGGGCCACACCGATTTCTAGGGTTTCTTTAATGAGTTTCGGGGCTAAGGTTAGGATTCTTGGGTCTTGCAAGTGGCAGTGAGAATCAAAGAGTTTGATCATTGGTTTGAAATTAGGTTTGAATCTGCAACAGCATCAATAAAATTACACAGATAAAGATTATTGTTTGGGAGCAATCGGATAATGAGATTACAGAGAACTTCAATCATATTTTCTCAGACAAAGATTGAACTTATGAGGATCGAGCAAAGCAATTACTGCATAGTTTTCCCCAAATCTTTATCGCAATAAAACCTAATCTAACATAGGCAAAATCGAAATATGCTTGGGTTGATTTCCATGGATGCTACAAACAAGTAAGAACATATATGAAAACGTTCGACGGATTTGCAGTCGAAGAAGTGAACGAAAAATTGCGGGAATCGTTGTATGAGTAAGATTATGAGAGAAAGAAACCTGGAAAGAGGCGTCGTTTTGCAGTTATTTTCTCCCCTGCAAAAAGTGCAAGTGGAAATTATCTCCGATCTAAAGACACGAAATAAAAAATTATATATAAATTTAAAACTATTATTATATTTATAGAAGATGCTATAGTTCCCGTCACTGAATCATTTCGTCAGAATTTGCAACCGTTAATTCAACTATCCATGAAGGTTACATGATGATCTAATGGTTACAACCCCAACGGATTGGTTCCGTAACGTGACTGTAGCATTTCTATATATTTATAGTCTGATAAAATGTCAATTGTCAACCAAATTATACCAAGCCCAAATAAGCGGTTTTAATAATCAGCTAGATGTATAAAGGAGTCGAGTCGAGTCGAGTCGAGTCGAACTGAACTCGAGCTCAAATTATTAACGAGTCAGTAGTTGAGCTTGAGCTTGAACTCAACTCATTTGTCATTAAAGCTCGACTCAGTTATATTGATCAATATTAAAGATCGATTTGTTTATCAATATCAACGAGTGGAGCTTGAGTCTAGATAAGTGAAGCCGAACATTAATGAACCAAACTGTAGAAATTATATAAAAAAAATCATCTTATGGAACCAAGTTGTTAACTAAATGAGTTTCATACAAACGAGCCGAGTAGAGCTATGTTGAGCCGGGCTCACGAGCGACTCGTTTCATTTAACAACTTTACAAAAAGCCCATTACTCTCAAAGTCTTATTAAAAATGAGAATATTATGTGGTTCATCTATATATGAATCCCTTTTTATTTATAAATATATAAAGTTTTCTTATCATTAGAACTATATTAACTTTCACTGTTTATAAACATTTTTCTACTTCCATCTTTGGCATTGGATTTGAAATTGCATAATTTTTTATGTATAACTCATTTATGCATGATGTTATCTTGAATTATAGTAAATTTACAAAAAAAATAAAAAATAAAAATAAGAAAATATAGTAGACATTTAGAATAAACTATTAACATGTCATTATATTGAAGGGAATCTAATTTCATGGTGATGATGATTATGATGATATAATATGTTACAAATATAAACCATTTAAAAATTAAATTAAGATAAAAAATCATCCTTAACTTGTGATTCACCCACTTCTCACAGCAAACTCCAAACTAGTGAATTCCAACACATTGTGTACAAAAAAATGCATGAAAAATTTGATGAGTAACTAAGAAACTCCTAACACTTACTCAAGTCACCATCTCCATGAATGGTGTTTTCTTGAGCATGTCAAATTAGACCTTTATTTATACAACGAAATCATGGGATCCATGGCAACAAGATTTGTAAAACAAGGAAAAAAAAAAAAAATGGAGGCTGACATCATGAATCCTTTCGATTCTATCCAATCAAGCATCATCCATTTCGTCGGATAGGGATAATATACAGAAATTCTATGGAGCCATCGGATCGGGTGATTTTCTTATAAAGTCATCCATCACTTAATATTGACATCTGTCCAATTTGTATTTATCATATGACACGTGTCAATACACTGTGGATGACTCCATAAGTCGAGTCATCCGATGGTTTCATAGAAAAACTGGGATAATATATAATGAAGTGGATGATGCGCGTTTGGATAACATCGTAAGGGTTCCTCTTGATTATTTTCGGGATTTTTGAAGGTACAAACAATAAATTTATTATATATATACATATATGCCATTTTTTTTAAGAGATTAATGAAAGCTAGTTGATTTTCTCTTCATTTTTACCTATAATTAGTTTATAGTTCATGAATCTTTAGAAAAGTTTCAAAATAATGCTTCATTCATTTGCGAGACCTTTGATAGGGAGAGCTATGAAAGACGTTTTCACGTAGTCCGTTGTTTTTGTAATTAATCTTAGAAGTTACATTTGAAATGGTTGATAATCGATGATGAATGAAAAACTAGAACGTATGAACTTATATGTACATGTAAGTCATGCCATGGAGATCTCCATTGCATTAGTGTAGGTACCAAAAAATTATGAATTTCTGAATCTCTTGCACATTATCATGCACACACAATTTAATTAGCCATTACTCCCGCCGTTTTCGAGCCGGTTCTCGACATTGAGAAGCGAGACGATGACGGTGATGATAATGACGACAGCCACGACTATCGCTATGTACGCCTGCTTTCGAGTCTCCCTCTCGTAGTCGTTCAGCCCCGCCTTAGATGGGCCTTCCGTGGGCCCCAAGCCCGATGAGCGGATGGGCTCGACCGGGCTTGGTGGCCCAATCCCTCTGGGCCCCTCCTCGGCAGAGGCGGCCACCACCGGGGTGGCTATGCCGAGGAGGATTTGGTGGAGGGCCATGAGGGTGCGGCGAGCCTCCATCATGGCCCCGCGCCGCTCCTGGATCTCGGCCACGGCATCCAAGACCGGTCCGCGGCCATGATCCTGCATGGCGTGGTGGATCGAGCTCTCTGGTACCTCGTTCGCAATCAGGTTGTCGATGGCCTCTGCTGTCGCCTTTTCTCGTGTGATTGCAAAATACCTAATTTCTCAATATTAATTAGCACCCAATTGTAAAATAGACATGGCCAAGCCGGCAGGCCAAGGTTCGATTCTGGCCCGCCGTTTGCAAGACTGCCCGACTCGAATATAATGCAAACGGCCCGACTCGAATATAATTTATTGGCCATGTCTAATAGTCAAAAACATAGAAGATTTTTGAATTTGAGTGACAAGCTATTAGAAAGGATCCAAGTTGGGTTAATTAAATTTAAAATCAGTTGTAATTTACCTGCTCTCAATCATCTGCCTGTGGTCGGTCTCCATCTGCACCCTGAGCCCTTGGAACCTCCGCATCATCTGCTTGATGCTCAGCCCAAGATTCGAGATCATCGAGGCCCGTGCATTGTCGTCGGACGAACCCGGCCCACCACCCGCAACCCTCCTTTGGGCAGCATTGGCCCG